TTCACATCAGGGTCCCACTTCACATCAGCGGCACCCCTTCACATCAGCGGCACCCCTTCACATCAGCAGCACCCCTTTACATCAGGAGCCCCCCCCCTCCCTCCCTTTGACAAAGTATAAAAGTTGGTATAAGTGCATAGAATACATCCCAGATTTCCATGGAGAGACAGATGAATTGACTCTTTAGATGGCGATGTTCCCGGCTCCAGCTGACGGTGATCCAGGCCGGTTATGAAAGCAGACAATGTGTGCAGGGAATGTCGAGTTATTGGGGAGCGGACATCTGGAGGCTGCATGGCAGGACATTGCTGAAACCCTCGGACCCTCCTTCCACTCATTCTGTGGTTTCCTTCTTACATGATCTCTTCACATGAGCGCAGTGCGGCGTCACCCTCTTGTTGTCATTAGCAAAAAATGAAACATTTTCCAGCGAAGATGAGGATATGGGAGGAAGAATCCGGCAGATTGCAGACATGTGCTCGGTTATAATATACACTTGACTGATGGATTCGTCAATTTTCCGTCCCTCTGTTAAAACCCCAATAAACACTCGGACTGAGCGACGTGGATTTTATCCTCCTGGACACCTGACTCCCACGTCCAATCAGGTAAGAGCAGCTATTCCCATTTTATTTTTAACCCTTTCTCCCGGGACTATTCCTCCCCCCCAGGCATGTAGCCCCTCCGCTCAGTCTCTCCGTGTCTGTCTATATTGCCAAAAGTATTGGGACCCCCCTCCAAATCATTGGACTCAGGTGTTCCGTGACATTTCCTGGCTACTAAATATTCCACGGTCGCCTGTTACTGGGATTATAACAAAGTGGAAGCAACCGGGAACAACAGCAACTCAGCCAGGAAGTGGTCGGCCACGTCACAGGACAGAGCGGGGTCAGCGCATGCTGGAGCGCACAGTGCGCAGAAGTCGCCAACTGTCTGCAGAGTCAATAGCTACAGACCTCCAAACTCCATGCGGCCTTCAGATTGGCACAACAACAGTGCGTAGAGAGCTTCATGGAATGGGTTTCCATGGCCGAGCAGCTGCATCCAAGCCGCACATCATCAAGTGCAATGCAAAGCGTGGGATGCCGTGGTGTAACGCACGCCGCCACTGGACTCTAGAGAAGAGGAGACGTGTTCTCTGAGAGGGCTTGACCGCCCACCTGAGACCCTGCAGAGTCTATGGTGGGCTCTGCAAGGTCACCCTCAGATGGGCTGTGTGGGATCTCAGGTGGGCATAACTAGAAATCACAGGGCCCTATACAAAATTTTGCTATGGGGCCCCGTGATTTCTAGTTACGCCCCTGCACCCATTACATCTTTTCACGTTCTCAGAAGAATTTCAAGTCATTGAGGGCACCTTGGAGAGCAGTGCATACAGAGGAACCAATCTGATATTGGATCCTTCCCAGATAGCAAGGATAACTTGCCACAAACTTGTGTCCGGGTTACATTGTAATTCTTGATAACTTGCTGCGCACATTCCCGGCACGTTGTAGACTTGCAGAACACTTGCAGCGCAAGTTCTAGGTGACACTTTATACATTTGTAGCAAATTTGCTTGGCACGTTGATCCGGAGACTTGCTGTAATTATGCAACAAAATTGTGAAGCTCGGCAAGTCTGGCAATAGTTTAGCGAGTCATTTTTAAACTTGCAGCTCTGTTGCTTGCTATCTGGGTTACCATTCAATACTGCAGCGATGTGGGAGATCGGAGGTAGGTTGGGCAGGAAGGAACCCACAATGGAGACGTTAGAGTACAAGGCCACCACAGCTGGAAATGTATATGGCGTTCCTAAGGTCGGAGATGCGGTTGAACCGCGCAGGACAAAATTCGGAATGCTCCCTTCGGACAGCACACGTCTTCTCCAGTATTTACAGACCTCAACATTGTGAAGATGCTGTTGTTGGTTGCTATAAACAGAGACTCTTGTTTTTGTTTGAAAAGAAGGACTTTTGTTATTTCCCCTGTAGGAGACAGATGTTCTCGTGAATTGTGATTTTAGGATGTGCCCAATGAAGCACATTTGTGGAAACAAACAATTTGTAGACTGGAAAACATGTCTTAGGCGGTATGTTGGCCGCGGTGTCCAACCAGATTCTCTCTCGTGTTTCAGTGTTGCACTATGAGAATTAAAGTGTATCTAAACCCAAGAACACAAATGTAATATATTGCGGGTTACCGGTCCGTAGATGTGGTGGGTGTATTAGTTTTCTTCTCTCATTTTGACCCGTGATCCTGCCAGTAATGCCCTCCCTGTCCAAGTAGAATGTGCTTTGTTTGGGGTGCCTTGAATCAATGAAGGACAATCATCTTCCCCTATTAGTGTACCAGACCCACCATCACACTTGATTTGCCCAGTGTAGGGCTGGAATGAAGATTTATAAATCTGCCCCTAAGGTATGGCCAGCACAACAGCTGGGTCCTCACAACTAGTGATAGTGGTCAATGCGCTAAGGACCCTAAGGCATTCCTTCATCAAAAGGTCAATCAGTATCCCTTCTCAGCAAGCCTGTTATGTCTGCTTTGTTCTACTAACACAAAGCTTCTCGCTGTCTGGTTTTTCCACGAGGTATACAGTATGTTGCCTTATCACAGTTACATAGATATCGATTTTATCACTTCTGCCATAGGTTGAAGATGCTCAATTTGGGTGGACTGTCCCTCATTTGGAATCATGTCCCTCTTTCTCTCTTGTCTCCTCAGCTGTCCTTCTTTTTGGTCTGATGTACAGAGATCTATGAAAAGGTTCTTATTCTTTACTAAAACCTTCATCTGATCTCTTAATGATCTTGTACACTGTGCGGGAAGGTGTCCCTCTTTCTAACCAATTATAAATTCCTAATGGTCTCCAAATCTGGAAGTGTGGCAGGGGTATGTCCATTGCCTAAATACACTGTGCGGGAAGGTGTCCCTCTTTCTAACCAATCATAAATTCCTAATGGTCTCCAAATCTGGGGGTGTCGCAGGGGTATGTCCATTGCCTAAAAACATTGTGCGGGAAGGTGTCCCTCTTTCTAACCAATTATAAATTCCTAATGGTCTCCAAATCTGGAAGTGTGGCAGGGGTATGGCCATTGCCTAAATACACTGTGCGGGAAGGTGTCCCTCTTTCTAACCAATTATAAATTCCTAATGGTCTCCAAATCTGGAAGTGTGGCAGGGGTATGGCCATTGCCTAAATACACTGTGCGGGAAGGTGTCCCTCTTTCTAACCAATTATAAATTCCTAATGGTCTCCAAATCTGGAAGTGTGGCAGGGGTATGGCCATTGCCTAAATACACTGTGCGGGAAGGTGTCCCTCTTTCTAACCAATTATAAATTCCTAATGGTCTCCAAATCTGGAAGTGTGGCAGGGGTATGGCCATTGCCTAAATACACTGTGCGGGAAGGTGTCCCTCTTTCTAACCAATTATAAATTCCTAATGGTCTCCAAATCTGGAAGTGTGGCAGGGGTATGGCCATTGCCTAAATACACTGTGCGGGAAGGTGTCCCTCTTTCTAACCAATTATAAATTCCTAATGGTCTCCAAATCTGGAAGTGTGGCAGGGGTATGGCCATTGCCTAAATACACTGTGCGGGAAGGTGTCCCTCTTTCTAACCAATTATAAATTCCTAATGGTCTCCAGAACTGGGGGTGTCGCAGGGGTATGTCCATTGCCTAAATACATTGAGCGGGAAGGTGTCCCTTCTTTCTAATCAATCATAAATTCCTAATGGTCTCCAGAACTGGGGGTGTGGCAGGGGTATGTCCATTGCCTAAATACACTGTGCGGGAAGGTGTCCCTCTTTCTAACCAATCATAAATATCTAATGGTCTCCAAATCTGGAAGTAAGGGCAGGGGTATGTCCATGGCCTAAATACACTGTGCAGGAAGGTGTCCCTCTTTCTAACCAATCATACATTCCTAATGGTCTCCAGATCTGGGGGTGTGGCAGGGGTATGCCCATTGCCTAAATACATTGAGCGGGCAGTTGTCCCTCTTTCTCATCTTAGGAAGTTGGGAGGTATGCAACAGGACATTGACCAAAGATGCCAAAAAAGGGAAACAATTATCCAAACCCCCCTCCCAAATAAAGGTTTTGGCTTTAGATATACTGCACTTTAGTACAACATTTTATCTATATTCCCCTTGGTGGGACTAAAGCTTTTCAGGCAATTAAGATACGCTCACACTCCTAAGCCTTGCCTAAAATGTATGCGCTGGGGGTTTACACCTTGTTGACAGGTCGTATAAGTCAAAACCCGAGACAGAAATTCTACTTATGAATGGAGGGATACCTGAATAAATACATAGGAAGGTTCTTAGAAATCCCCTACGTCGTTTAACAAGGGCTTCCAGAATATTTAGGTTGTCTTAAGTAATTGGACCAGATGTCTTCAAAAGGCGAGGGTATAGGCGTCCATAAAATGTTGGTGCATAACGGGCTTTTGCTGGTGAACTTGCAATGTGTCATATTTTCTATATACTCCCAAAACTCTGTCTACACTGCAGCTCTGCGCAGGAAATAGCAGAAAAAGGGTTTGCTGTGTATTAGCCCGAGCCTAATTCCTCTTTCTCCCCCCTCTTCTGCACGTTGCTTATGAACAAAACAGAGGCCCCATTCATGGAGACTAGGCCGCAAACCTTAGCTGGGAGATGCCGCTGTGAAACTTTATATTCAAAGCCTTGACCGCCTCCGCTGTTATTCCAAATCTCTCATGAACCTCTGCTAGATACAGCGCTAGCTCGACCAATGCTCGTAAGGTGAAGGGGAAAAATATACCAGGCTCTTCTTCTACCCAAACCTGAAGGGGAATCGCAACCCGATGGAAGTGTTTGTTTGGACAGAAAATACATTCGCTGGAAGGGGAACGTGAAAGGAGTTGAGCTCTCCTGGGAGCATTCATCTTGGAAAAGTTTGAGGTCGAGCCTTGAGAAATTTTTCACAGTTGCTTTGCGGGTTGGAGGAGAACATAACAAGAGCCGAGCCTGGGAACTAGAACAACCTTGCTCATAATGAAGCTGCTCCTCGTTGCTTTGATGATGACCCTTCTGGGGTGCGCTGGACGGGCCCAAAAACCTCAAGGGAACGGTATTGCAGGAGTGCAACGAGCCGGCCAAAAGGCGAGCAACTCCAAACATGTGGAGGCCGGACATTCTCCTCCAGCTCAGAAGGTCCTGAAGGAAACTTCTAGCAGGCAGAGGAAAGCTGTGGTGCCAGCCATTGAAAGTCCTTTAGTTGCAGGTAAGGCGTTTTATTTTTAAATACGTAACTATAATGATCACCAGAAGGTTTTAGGAAAGTAACTGGTTTGTTTGTGTGTATTAGTAGAGGGGTTCCTACTTATTATTATACAGGATTTATAGAGCTCCAACAGTGTGCGCAGCGCTGTACAATATAAGGAAGACATTACAATCACAATACAATTCAAGACAAGATGGTGAGGAGGGCCCCGCCCCTGAGGGCTTACAATCTAAAACTGATACATGAGGAGGGAGCTGTGTGGGGATGAATTGTTTGAGAACGTGATGGTCGAGCGGTTAGGTTGAGGTGGGATCGGCTTCCCTGAAGAGATGAGTCTTAAGGGATAGGCAGTCAGTGTGGGAGATAGACGGACAGGTTGGGAGTAGAGAGTTCCAGAGGATGGGAGACACTCTAGTGAAGTCCTGGAGGCGAGCATGGGAGGAGTTGATGAGGGGGCTGGAAAGCAGGAGGTCTTGGGAAGAGCGGAGGGGACGGTTAGGATGATACTTTGAGATTTTTTGCGGTGTCATTGGTGAGGAAGGGGCATGTTTTGGAGATGTTACGGAGGTGAAGGCGGCAGGATTTGGATGGGGATTGGAACTTGTATACAGTTCAATGGATTTTTCCAAAACAAGCAGCAAATGCAAATTTGCCTGTAGCACCTCCTGTTGGTACTATGGCATGATTACCGGCTGAACTATACAGGCAATGACAAGAGACATAAAGGAATGCATCTCTGTAATCATGAACACATCCTTAATGTGTGGGGGTTTTTTTTTTTAATGTGTGCATTGTATGCCCCTAAATATGACTTGTTATCAGCCTATTGTAATCCCTAGCACAAGGAAGCCAGTCAGATGTGCTGCAGTGATTATGTACTAACAAGGAACATGCTGAGAGTAGGGGAGAGCACGGCGACAGATGGATGCACTTATCATCGTGCTGCTTATTCTTTCACTGTCCATTCACAGAATGGAGAGGAGACCTGGAAGTGTTACAGAACTGCAGCAGAGTCAGGCCCGGATTTCCCACAAGGCCTTAGATGTTAATGCACATATCTAAAAAGTAATTATCTTCCAGGAAGAGGACAGTGCCTGGTGAATGGGATGATCATGTATGAAGGAGCAGCCTGGTCTCCTCGCCAATGTACCATATGCATTTGTACGCAAGGGAAGCAGGTATGTGAACCAGTTGACTGCGAGGATGTAACGTGCCCCTCTGGAAGGTTGCAGATACCCCCAGGCGGATGCTGCCCCGTCTGCATGAAGCCAGGTATGGGTTTTTGTATGTTTTATATGGAAAATGAAAAAGAAAATGATATTGCCCTCCTTAGTTTACAGGTTTTAGCCATGATTCTGATCTAATTATCAGCGGTTACCAGGGGCCCCTTCCTCCTGTCCTGGGCCCCCTCCAAGTGGCGGAACTCCAGGGCCCGGTCGCGACCTCTGCGACCCTGGTAGTTCCACCACTGGGGTGGAGGAACTTGACCTCCTGCACAGAGTCCTGACCTCAACCCCATAGAACACCTTTGGGATGAATTAGAGCGGACACTGCGAGCCCCTCCCCCAACATCAGTACCTGACCTCACAAATGGTCCAACATTCCCATAGACACACTCCTAAACAATGTGGACGCCTTCCCAGAAGAGGCGGAGCTGTTATAGTGGCAAAGGGCGGAGCCAACCCAATACTGAACCCTACGGACTAAGACTGGGATGCCATTAGAGGGCGGAGCCAACCCAATACTGAACCTTACGGACTAAGACTGGGATGACATTAGAGGGCGGAGCCAACCCAATACTGAACCCTACGGACTAAGACTGGGATGACATTAAAGTTCATGTGCGTGTAAAGGCGTCCCAATACTTTTGGCAATATAGTGTATTTCTGTCTATTGTGTTGCTATGGGCTAGCTTCATTCAGACTTGGAGTGGGAGTTCCTGTTCTGTTGGTTGATGGAAATAAGGAGTTGGTACATAGGAGGGCTTCCAAGAGGGATAAGTTCCCATTTGCTCCTTAAAGGAGATGTAAAGTCCCGGCATATCCTCTCCTGTGATCAGCATTGTAATAGGAAATCATACTGGAGTAGTCTCTGATAATGCAATCAAAGCTTACTCGAAAAAAATCCCTTTTATCTGTGATGCCGTCCTCTGCCCATCACTTCCAACAACTTCCTGGATTCCCAGTGTGCTTTGAGTCTCTTTCCCCACTGCTTGCTGAATTACAGAGTGACTTTGGTTTTGGGTGGGACTTGGGGTTTTATGCCCTTGGGCTTTGTTCTGGGGTGCAAAACTACATTTTAAGAAGGGAGGGGGCGTAGGCTACCTATAAAAAATCCAATTAAAGTCACAGAAATAAGTATTCAGGGTAGACATTGTACTAACAACCTCCATTTTCAATGCAGTTGTGGAGAACACTTGTGCTTAGGGGTGTGGCTAATACTCAGCTGTGCCAGCACAGAGCACTGGAGTGTGAGGGCAGAAAGCAGAATTTTCACAGAGATAAAAAAAAGCCATTTTAGGGCATTTCCAAGCTAAAATCAGTAACAAAACATATCATGGGGTTACAGGACTTATGTATAAAATATTAAGAATGCATCAAAACCATCCCAGGAAAGTGGAGGCCACTGTGCTCTATTCATATATTCCATATACATTTTTTTCAGAAACCACAAAGCCCACACTTGTTGTGATCACCTCAAAGGCCATCCCAGGAAAAGCAACAGAACAAAGAAAGGATACAAAGACGACAAAGGCCAAAGATCCTATCGCACCAGTTGTAGGACCTAATACCACAAGACACAACAGCTCTACCACTGTAAAGCCACAAAAATTGAAGAAAACAACTGCAGCAAATGATCTAGAAGACGTCACTAAGGCCAAACCTGTCACAAAGAAGAAGGAACTGGATCCTGAGAAACAAGAGACAAGCCTCCAAAAGACAGGGGCCACCATACCAAAACCAAAGAAGAAGTCTATCGGAGAGAAAGGGTTGGACATTGAGCCGGTGAAGAACACAGAACAAGAACAACCAAAAGAAGGTATGGCCAATGCAAGGTAGTAATCGGCAACTTTCCAATGGTGGTCCACCACAGTTGCAAAAGCTGTTTCATATGTGAATATGAAGGCAACTTAAAGTGTATGTATAGCCAATAGAATATGGAAGAGTACGGAAGAGTAGAGAGCCGGTTTATACTACTGTCTGTGTCCTCACTAGAAAAAGTAGTCTTTTCCATTTGTCCTAGTGACGTAGACACTTCCCAGTGGGTCCATGGCTGAGATCCTCACAGGGTCCTGAAGATCTCAGTGGTAGTGTGTTAATGTTACAACAAGAGGGGTCAACAAGACTTGTTGGCAGCGGGCCCGGACCTCAGCAGTGGACAACCAGTCTTCACTTCCGGGAAAAGGCGTTGCGGAGAGTCAGGTGGCGGCAGATTCAGGTGAGTTCAAAGGGGATGAGGAAATGTTTTTGTGACATGTGAATGATCGTAGGGGAGGGAAGATTTCCTGTTTTGCCTGGAGACGGGCAATAAGTGCAGCTCTCTTGCAGCCAGGAATCCATAGGTAAAGTAAGTTGGTGGGCACCAACACACATCTCCCTCAAACCTAAAATTCAGGGTAGACTTATGTGGCCGCCAGAATAACCCGGGACATCACTAGTCTGTCTAGGGGTTTTAGCCTTCAGCTGCCCCATTAGCATTTAGCCGCCCTCTTCTAGTGCCCACAAAAGTGATCCTAGACATCCAGGGTAGTACAGACATAGACTTGAGACTCACCAGACATCCTCAGCATCTCAGTGTAGATCCACTTGTGATACAGCGAATAGTCATTGAAGTAACAGATGAGCAGGGATGAGCACAAATCCTCAGTAGGTGAGACACCGGCCATGCTCCTGAGGTCTTCTAGATTCTGGGGACCTTCAGCAGCCATCCATCTTCCTGGTTCTCCTCCTCTGGCCTCTAGCAACAGCACAGGCCTCCACCATACTTGAGGCCCATGGAAACACTTTCCACACGCCAGCCTCTGTCCACCCCCAGGCCTCAGGCTAGCCTGTGGGGAGGCTGGACAGCACCCAGTCCTGTGCTAGTCCATGGCTGGTCCCGACAAGTCTGAGTACATGGCATGTACCCTATCCCAGCATGCACCACTGGATGAGAGAAACCCAGTTATTTGTCTTCTGTCCAGTGGCGTAACAATCACCATAGCGACCCAGGCGGACGCTTTGTGGCCCGGGGCACAGTGGGGCCCGACTAGGTCCAGCCAGGCTGACTACAGCCCCGGCTATCACTAAATGTCTAGAAGCCACCTCACAGAAGGTGATGGGGGCTACACTGATCTTTAACATACTTCTTCTAGGTCATTTATGAATTGTTATATTTATGAAGAGAATAAGGAATGGCTCATGTTCTGTGTCTCACCAGAGAAGAAAAAGCACAAAGCGGTAAGCAGTGGAACGGCACAACCCGCAGGCACGCAGAAGCCAAAGATTCTCCAAGAGGATAAAACTAAGAAGCCGGTGGAAGCCAACCCATTGCCTTCTCTGCCGACTGTTCTAAGTGTAACTCCACCCACCCCGCATCACATCCCTTCCCTCCCTAGCGGCTGCCTCCTCTCCGAATTTACCATCGCCTGCGGGAACACAAAGATGACCTACCTCCCACTCATGACTGACCTAGGACTGAAGACACTCTACTTAGCTGGTAAGAAGGCTTGTACTCTGCGTGGCCAAATATCAGGGTAGCATTTCTGGTGGGAGGACCTAAAACTGAGACTTTTGATGGCTTGTAACAGGAAACCTGCACCTCCAGAAATGTGTAGGCTTCCATTTCGGAGCTCCTTGTAGAAATGCTGGTTGCCCTCAATGCTTTCAGAGCTACTGATCTGATGTGACCTATCCACAAGGGTAGTGAAATATGTTACCAGCACACAGGGCCGGCCTTTGGGATGTCCGAGCTGTGCGGCCGCACAGGGCGCCGTGGCAACAAGGGCACCAGGCGACCGACACAGCTCGGCCTCGAGGCGGCCTGCATCTTATGCTCTCCTCACCGCTCGGCCATGACAGTGAGCTTTGTTTCTAAAAACCACTGGGCACAGTGGCAGGGGAAGAGCTGGAGGGGGGTTCAGTGGATACAGAGGTGGTGAGAGAGGTGGGCATAGTGCCAGGGGAAGAGCTGGAGGGGGGTTCAGTGGATACAGAGGTGGTGAGACAAGTGGGCATAGTGGCAGGGGAAGAGCTGGAGGGGGTTCAGTGGATACAGAGGTGGTGAGAGAGGTGTGCATAGTACCAGGGGAAGAGCTGGAAGGGGGGGTTCAGTGGATACAGAGGTGGGGAGACAAGTGGGCATAGTGGCAGGGGAAGAGCTGGAGGGGGTTCAGTGGATACAGAGGTGGTGAGACAAGTGGGCATAGTGCCAGGGGAAGAGCTGGAGGGGGTTCAGTGGATACAGAGGTGGTGAGAGAGGCGGGCACAGTGGCAGGGGAAGAGCTGGAGGGGTGTTCAGTGGACACAGAGGTGATGAGAGAGGTGGCCACAGTGGATACAGAGGTGGTGAGACAGGTTGGCACAGTGGCAGGGGAAGAGCTGGAGGGGGTTCAGTGGAGACAGAGGTGGTGAGTGAGGTGGGCACAGTGGCAGGGGAAGAGCTGGAGGAGGTTCAGTGGATACACAGGTGGTGAGAGAGGTGGGCACAGTGGCAGGGGAAGAGCTGGAAGGGGGGTTCAGTGGACACAGAGGTGGTGAGAGAGGTGGG